AAGGAAAATTAATAACATAACAAATTCCAAATATATGCATAAATGCGTTGTCCTTAAATTATCAAGCAATACATCAACTAGAACTATTTTGAATAAAAATTGATTTAAAAAAAATAAATGTCACATCAATCATAACAACAATTTGAGAAGATTCTGGAATATTGAAGAGATATATTCCAAGAAACAAGACCCCCTACTGCTTTAACTCTGTGCCATTGGCAACTATTTTAAAACTATAACTATTTTGCCATACGAAAGAACAACCTATTTGAATCTCTTCATCGACTTAATAAGTGGAATTTCGATAAAGATTATAATATTTCAACAAAGCCTTCAACCTTCAAGTCAAATTCAAAGCCATTTCTAACCCTTTTAATGTGATTTGAAGGCCTATTTGAACTATGATAGCCTTTTTCAAATTCAACATTTTAAGTCAAGGAAGATTTTCAAAATGGTTACATTAAAGTGTTTTATTTCAAAGTAAGAACCATATGTATGCTACTTTGCATAAAAATTGACAGAAAATGAATAGAAATTACAACGGCCATTCTAGAAGATTCTAGGCTATTGAATGATATTGATCACGATTATCCAATTAGAAATTTCTGTACAGTAAACAGGGCTTTGATGACACATTGAATTTAATCAATAGCGTATCAGTGAAGCATTGTGTGGGACCATTGAATCACTCAACTTCTTAAATACCTTATTTAACTATGTTCATCTCATAACTCTTTAACACTAGACTGACATTAGAAAACATTGGCCATGGAATCCGAATTCATACATATTTAAAAGGATTGTAAAGAGTTTTTCTAATTTGTTATATGTACATCATGTGTTATATCAGGGACACTGATAGCATCAATTTGCACCATTCCAATTTTCAATCAGACGTCTGTAGTTCCTTCAAATAAGTGTTTGATGACGTCACTCATCATGAAGGGCTTTATGTGATAGACTATATTTTGCGATTATTGACATCAAACACTTCTTTTCTGTGGAATTGCAGGAACCACAGACGCCTGACTGAAAAAAAGAATGGTGCAAAATGATTAACATCCTGTTATTAGAAAACCTCTTAGCAATCTTTTAAATCACGATGTGAACTCACTGCAGATGTCAAGCAGGCAGAAAAAAAACAATACTAGACTAAGAAGACTAGGAAGTCGGAAGCCGGGGTTTCAAACTCATGGAACAAATCTTCATGCAGAAAAAAATCTTATTCGTTTTCATCTTGGCTTATCTATCTTAGGAGCCAACACAAGGCTGACTAATGAAAGCACTAGCAGAGTCCACAGAATAATTCCTGTCTTGAAGGGTTGATAAAGAGTTTGATTCTACTGTATGGCGAAAACCCACAGATTCTATCTGGATGCACCATCAAAAAACAACCGAACTTCTACCAACGGGTTGTCCTAACAATTAATATTTATAAGCACTTGGTAACTTCTGACCTATCTGATGAAAATCCAACTCACTGGTCACTACTGCTGACTGAGTTATCCCAAGTGCTCATTATGGTACTGATTTATCCCACTCACTACTGTACTGACTGAATTATCCCACTCACTACTGCGCTGAAAAAGTTATCCCACTCACCCACCACTGTAATGACAGAGTTATCCCACTCACCAATGTACTGACAGAGTTATCCCACTCACTACTGTACTGACAGAGTTATCCCACTCACCACTGTACTGACAGAATTATCCCACTCACCACTGTACTGACAGAGCTATCCCACTCACCACTGTACTGACAGTTATCCCACTCACCACTGTACTGACAGAGCTATCCCACTCACCATTGTACTGACAGTTATCCCACTCACCACTGTACTGACAGAGCTATCCCACTCACCATTGTACTGACAGTTATCCCACTCACTACTGTACTGACAGAGTTATCCCACTCACCACTGTACTGACAGAATTATCCCACTCACCACTGTACTGACAGAGCTATCCCACTCACCACTGTACTGACAGTTATCCCACTCACCACTGTACTGACAGAGCTATCCCACTCACCATTGTACTGACAGTTATCCCACTCACTACTGTACTGAAATAGCTATCCCACTCACTACTGTTCTGACAGAGTTACTAACAATAAGAGGACTTTTCTGACTTGCCATAGACTGAGTCATCCCACCTTGAAGACAACACCCTTTTTAACCCTTTCAACCCTAGCATCCAGTTTACAGACATCACAATAATATCTGAGCAGCCAGTGAACCGACTGTTACTACGTTTTTACTCATATTACTTGGAGTTCAGGGTATATGATACAAAAGGATTTTTTTATACGCCCACATCTGTCTATGTGGACGTGTATTGTCGGCACCCCTGTCCATCCGTCCGTCAACATTTGCTTGTAAACGCCCTAAAAACTAGATTTTTGCTGCTGAAAACTCGCTGAATGAAGACTTATATACAGCATTCGATTCATGTTATGTAAATATCAAATATTGCCACTTTAGTTAATCAAAATGCAGACAGAAACCGTTGATGCTTGAGAGATAATCTGAGTAGTGTAAAATAAACTCAACAAATGTCCTGATGATACATATACAAAGTTAATAAAATCAGCAATTACTATGTATGTCAGATTATCAATATAGGCTTGATAACAATTTAAACTTTAACCCTTTCCGTGTTAACTTGTGTCCTAATCAGCTGATCATAGATTAATTATATTTTTAACCGAACTTGTAATTATGTTAACTGATTACAAATAAAAAAGGATGTTCACTTTTAGCACAACTGTTTTGAAACTATGCCAGACATTCCCTTTAAGATCTTTGAATGGATGTTCCTTATTTAAGATCACTTCTAAGTTATTGCACATTTATTAAGCTATCTGATTGAAACATGCTTCCAAAAACCTTCAGATATGTGTTCAATGGGAGAAGCACTCATCCCGTTGAAGCTTTCCCTATTGAGGTTCCAAGTTTTTGAAACTACTTAATTTTGTTTTTAGTTAACCTAATCCTTAAGATTTGTGTTCAAGCAGAAACAGATTTTGTTATTTTGGAACTGGTACTGTACTGGTACCTGTAAGCTTAATACTGTGCAGGGTTAAAATCATGTTTTACATAGCGATATTGGCAGTTGACGGGTTGTTGATACTCAACCTCTTCAACCAAGACCATCTATCTAATCCCTAATCAATTCTATTGCTATCCCTACTGCCAGCCATTAAAAAGCTTTGAAATAGTCAATAAAATGTTGTCTGTCAACCTCTTAACCATGTTCCACCACAATGGTCAAATGAAATGAATGGAATTTTACGTCCTACTTTTCTGCACCATGTGGGCTAATGAAGACGGGCAACGCCATGCAGGGTGCAATGAGGGAAATTTTGCCAGGACAGCGGCATGAGTCTGCTTTTTTTTTATTTCCAACTGTCAAGGGATCTTTAACGTGCACAGCCCGTAGCACACGGGGCCTCAGTTTATTGTCCCATTCGAAAGACTAGACGCTTTTTCCATGTCAGCCCCTCTTACCTGAATCACTCACAGGGGGAAACCGGGTTGAAAAATCCGAAGGACCTTCAGGTTAGTGAGCAAGCGTCTAACTCACTGAGCCAATGCGGCTTCCTGCTTTTGGTTCGAGGAGCCAGTACGAAAATTCATGCATTTTCTAAATTTCACAACTTTTGAGAGCACTGTCATATAATTCACTTAAATAATATTTAAATAGATCTAATTATCTATCCTATTATTCAAGTACATTAAAAACAAAATGTCAATAATAAACTAAGATATTGGAACACCATGAAAATAAAATTACTAGCACAGGCCTTTAAAATAAAATGTTAAAACTGCTAGGTTTGCAAAACTGTGTAAACAAAGGCCGCCCAATATAAAAGTGAACTGTGAGATGAAACCAACTAACTTGAACAGTGAAATGGGTCACTGCTAGCCTACACCTTTGCTGCATCACTTAGTAGACTTACCGACATTACCCTACTATCAAAACAAACACACGTGCGTTTGTTTACAAATGACCAATGTGTCAAATGCATGCTTATGTAGAATAACAGTCAACTCATAACCGAGAAAGATATCAACTCGCGGTAGACGAGAATGGCGATAAGACTTCACTGAGAAAAATTTCATGACAGCCGACACAAGAAAACATTCGCCCTCTTTCAAAACAAAATACTCACCAATCAACGGCCAGTGGATTAATTTTCACTATCCTAATGCACAACTGAACAGAAATATCACAAACGACCTGAATACTTTTCAAGTACTTAATGTTACAAATGAATTAATGAGTTATTTTAACTCGGGGGTTAATCGCCAGTCGTCGTTCTACTCGCATCACAATGAACAACCGAACAACACCTGCATATTTAATATCTACATACGCGTCTTAAATAGATCCGTCAAAAATTGAATTTTTCTCTCTAAAAATCGATGTTAGGAAAGGCAACATAAAATCACAAAGTGGTGTCGCACAATATAATTAATTTATTCCGAAATGCCCAAAAATCACGATTTTTTCTTAATTTATTTTTCTAATGAAATTCATCCGCTGGGTTTTTTTTTCTTCGCCATGCGAAAAATTCATGACGTCACAGACGGGGTTGTTTCTTGTTCTGAAAGCCATAAATGGGTGGACTATACCATTGCTTCAAAAAGGAATGTCAGCAAATTTTTCGAACTTTTTTTAAAAATTGATTTTCAAGTCTCATTTTCAAAAATAAATATCAAGCGAGTAGTAAGAAGAAAATTTAAAAGGAATCAATTCAAGAATAATCAAAAGAGTCTAGGCGATTTAATGAAATTTGTATCCAAGCTGTGTCCCCTATTTTAAAAGTGGTTGAGTTGAGTATAAGATAAAAGGTTATTATAGTAAACAATATAAGCACATGTTAATAGTTGATATTTGACAGTTACGCGATAACTGTCAATGCCGTGACACAGTTCATGATTTCATTCATAATAATAATCATGGTGTGAATTTCAGTGACACGTGCCGTCAGTGATGCAGTTCACTAAAGGGCTGTCAGGTATTTCATGCACGCACGTGCATTTAAATATTTTTAGTTTTAAGACTACGATCGACTATGCCTATCTGCAGGAATTTTATTGTTGTAAATGATGCATTTGGTGATTTGAAGTATTTTGACCATGTTATTTTTTCTGTTGTTTTTTGTTATTATTTTGAGGGAAGGGTAAGGTTGGAAGAGGGTCTTTAAGTCCATTTTAATATTTGAAATTTCTGTCCAAAAAATTTATTTTATGACAATAAATTGCAGAATTTTTAGTGTAAGAAATGAAATGCCAGTTAACTTTTAGGCTACTATTTTTAAATTTGCCTGTGAAAGTAAAGCCAGAAAATGAACCAATTTGTATTTTTACCATTGTTGTTTCATAATTTTGGTTTAAGTGTAGCTATAATACAAAGTTTGAAAAAAAACAAAACAATTTATCTTAAAAAAGTTGAACTTAAATGCATTTGTGAAGTCCAAATTATTCAGAAAAAGGCCTTCTATATTTTAAAGTTTTTTCAATCAGAATATGACAGTTAGGGAATATAAGCTCAGTGAGTGAATCAAAAATTGGTTGATTTTTTTTTGATTTTAAATATTTTGCAGGTCAGTCTAAAACCTCATATAATTATAAGTCAACAAAACATATGAAAGATGACAAAAATATCAGAAATGGTCGCCGACCAAAAATGCAGATGGGTTCAGATGGTAGAAATGCATGGAAACAGCTCAGAGCTGAGATGCGGAAGGGTGGCCTTCAGTCCAAAGAGAAAAAAGCCAAGGCTGCCTTAAAATCTGATGGACGAGCCAGAGTCTCAAGTGGGCCAAAATCTATTTCACCAAATAAAATGGCCGCCATGGATGCCAAATTTAAGACTCAGAGTCCAGAACCAACACGAAAATTTCCACAAATATCGGACATGATTGATCCAATAAAAGCAGCCAAAGAAAACAGCACAATGTTGGATATGACTGTCGCTCAAAAATGGAAATTGCCTGCAATAAAAGGTGCTGGCACAAGAAAAGGGGGATTTTTCGGTAGTTCTATTGGTGGTTTAGATGGTGGATTCAGAAGATCTTCTGACACCTCGGTGGCCAAAGGTCCACCAGAACATACACTAGCAATCCTGACTGATATTGCTCAGCAGAAAAAGAAGCGAATACAGCAGGAGTTACGAGATAAGCTAGATGGAATCAGCAGCCGAGTGAAAGCTGCACTGATGAATGCTGGGATTGATGATGATGAGGATGAAGTCAAAATGGATAAGGTGATGTTCTTATGCCTTTTTATTAAAAGTGCCTATCCAGTGCCTCAACTGGTTGAACCATGTCCACAGGTGGCACTCCTAAGGGGGGCCCCCTCACCAATCAAAAAATTCACGCGAGCATATTATAAGCATGTTAAATTGCCAGGATTGCAGGAAATGGGCCCCAACCCATCTAATTGAGCCACTGCCCCTATCTCCGTTGATGATCAGACTTTTACCTGGTTTTTACTATCTACTGTAACTTGAATGGGTATCTGTTTACTTTTTTTTTCAATATATCTTTGGAGTGTAAAAAGGTTTTCTAAATTTTGTGTGTATCAGAGACACTGATAGCATCAATTTGCACCATTCCAATTTTCAATCAGACATCTGTGGTTCCAGCATTTCTACTAAAACTTAGTGTTTTTTTTTTTACTAAGTGTTTTATGACATCACCCCCGGACTTATGTGATACAAGCAAATTTTGCAGGATTGACATCAGAATCCCTTTAAGAGTTTTTGTCATCTAATTTTTAGCTTAATCAACTCTCTGTACCACTTGTTAGAATTTAGAATTAGCAGCCGGTTTCACTTCAAACTTCTGAGACAGTCCTAAAATTTGTTTCCCATTTCTTGTATTTGCATTTGGCTGTGAAATGAATCAAAGTTTTGTGAAATGTTTTATTTTTAGCAGAAGCTTGCAGGAACTCTTCAGATGATTTCCATGGAATCCAGAAATAAAAGACAAAAGGTAATAATGACATATTTTTTGCAATATTTAAAGGGATTGTAAAGAGTTTTTCTAAATTTGTTTTCTAAATTTTTTATGTGTAACATGGGACACTGATAGCATCAATTTGTACCATTCCTATTTTCAATCAGTCTGTGGTTCCTGCAATTCCACTAAAACTAAGTGTTAGATGACGTCATAAGTGATCAGAGATGACATTCTTATGTATGCTTCCATTGTGGTCATTTTTTTGACAATTGCACTTTCATGAGTTGTTTCCCTTAACACATTGTTTCTAAGTACATTCTCCAAGCAGCTCTTTCAGATTGTTCATAGAGTTTATTTGTCATACAGGTTTGCAACTTGATATATCTTTCAGAGAGTCCACATAGTAAAATATTAGCTATGTATTTTTTATTGTAGATAGATGAAAGGAAGGATATTATTGGTAACATCAATGAATATCTGGGATCTTGTAAAGAACGTTATGGTTTGTTGGATAATGTGGCCACATGGATTGGTGTTGCTCAGGATGAATTGGTAGGTTCAGCTTTTTTGTTTTTGCGCCTTGGATGTTCAACCCCAGTCTTAAACTAGCTGCCCTGATGGGGGATTTTATATCTGAAACATAAAATGTTCGCAGCAGAGAAAGAGCTCTCATGGTCACCCTATGCAAACTCACCGCATAAGAGAAAATTTTTGAAGAATTACATTCCAGCATCAAATTTCACTTGAAACAAAATGAAATGAATGGAGTTTTACGTCCTACTTTTCTGCACCATGTGGGCTAATGAAGATGGGCAACGCCATGCAAGGTGCAATGAGGGAAATTTTGCCAGGAAAGCGGCATTAGCCTGCTCTCTTTTGATTTCCAACTGTCGAGGGGCGAGCACAGCCTGTAGCACACAGGGCCTCGGTTTATTGTCCCATCTGAACGACTAGACGCTTTTTCCATGTCAGCCCCTCTTACCTGCATCACTGACAGGGGGAAACCAGGTTGAAAAATCCGAAGGTATTATCTCGACCTATGCCGGGATTGAATCCTGGACCTTCAGGTTAGCGAGCAAGTGTCTAACTCACTGAGCCACCATGGCTCCCTGTTTCACTATAAAGTTTGTTGATATTTGTTGTCAATTTTTATACTTTATCTTCAGGAGAAAGAACTAATCCCAAGTGAAGAGTATGATCAGGCCATGACTGAAGCAGATATAGCTTACAATGATACAACGTAAGTCAGAACTAGGGTCATAGTGGTTTGAAACATCTTCCTTTATTCATGCCTCTGATAGATATTTTGACAGTTATTGGCTGGAATAGAGACAGAAAAACTAGGCCTGGAGATTTTCCACACCTCCACAACTGTTTTCTAACATTATTTTGAATTACTTTTACTATGACTGTATATTAGTGTTGGGCATCACCTTAACTTTCGTTTGTGACCCTTGAACTTTTGGCTGGGCACGCAGAAATGGTTTAAAAAATACTTTGAACTGCAGACATGACGTAAATGGTGAAGGGGTATATGATGGTAATTTTTTATGAACATAATCGATTGCAAAGTTTAATTTTCTATTATTATGTATTTTTGGGTTTTTTTGTAGAGATGATATGTATATTTTTACTGAGAATATCCAAAGATTTAAAAATCTAAGTCAACTTGTTTTACGTCAAGTAAGAAAAATCTTAGACAAGTAAGTAGAATGTTTCACTCAAAATTTATACTTCTGATTTCAAAATGGCCTGCCAATATATTCTTTATTGAATTCAGCGGATGCTGATATCACAAACTAGGTAGTTGTTGGTATTCGTAGTAGTTGGTAGTTGGATTGGTTCAAACTTGATGGTTCTGTGTTGGATGTTGGTTTGGTTGTTGATTCTTCGTTAGATCTGGTCGGGTCGAATGACATGGCGGTGAAACTCCGCCCTGGATGGTGTGGAGTGAGTCATTCGATCTCCTTCATTCTTCCAAACTCATTCTGATCATGGAATTTCTTGTTGATTGGTAGTCGAAATGGCTTTTGCATTGAATCACCCAATTATATGCACAATTTCTTAGAGATCAGTCTTTTAGATATTGGAGAAAAACCGAATTTGCTGGCCACCATTAAATTAAATGTCCAGTGTCTTAATCATTATTTTCACCATGAAAATCCATTTTTTTCCACTATTATGATTATTTGTAGGAAAGAAAAACATCAAGCGCCTAAAATTGTTGTTATGGATGGTAAGATATAAAGGGTTATTTTTCTAAATTATTTACAACTGGCCAGAGTAACAAACCTTTATGATCAATCCAAGCAGAGGTCAAAATAATAGCTTTGGAATTATCACCTGGGCAGCCCCTGGCGTAGGTCAGAAAGTCTAACATGGAAAAATATGTTTCAGTCATTCAGACGGGTCAATAAACCAAGTCCATATGTACTGCAGACTTCATTCACATTTTTTAGGTAACTTTACATTGAAAAAACAGAATCATTGAATATGTGTAGCTATCCTGGCAAAAATTTCCCTCATTGCACACTTCATGGCCATTGCCTGTCTTCTTTGGCTTTACAGAGTTCTGTTTAGTAGAGTGCATCTCCATTTCCATTTTTTACATTTCAGATCACACATTGTTAAGTGGTAAAGTGAAATGGGAAAAAGGAATTTCTAGCGTAACCAATCTGCTAGAAGAAGCTTCTAAATGGGTTAAAGGAATTCAACTTAGAAATGGTAAGCTGAAATTTGTCATTTTTATACGGTCCGTGCATTCACATTTCGTGTAGGCGCGATAGAGGCTACAGTTTTTATACGATCTTGATGAAACTTGGTATTCATGTATATAGTTCTCGGACAAGTTCGAAATTGGTAATAATCGGAAGAACGGTTTCAGAGTTATTGCCCTTGACTTAGTAAAAACGTGTCAAATTTGACTTGTAGGCACGATAGAGACTACAGTTTTTATCTGATCTTGATGAAACTTGGTATGCATGTATGTATTGATGAGATCTCAGTCAAGTTCAAAATTGGTAATAATCAGATGAATTGTTTTAGAGTTATTGCCCTTGACTTAGTAAAAACGCATCAAATTTGACTTGTAGGCACGATAGAGACTACAGTTTCTATCCGATCTTCATGAAACTTATGCATGTATATATTGATGAGATCTCAGTCAAGTTCGAAATTGGTAATTATCGGATGAACTGTTTCAGAGTTATTGCCCTTGACTTATTAAAAACGTGTCAAATTTGGCTTGTAGGCATGGTAGAGACTACAGTTTTTATCTGATCTAGATATTCATATAATATATTGATGAGATCTCAATCAAGTTAGATTCTTTTCAGCTATTAAGAATGGTAAAAAACAATATGCATTTATCGTCAAAGCCATGGATAGAAAGCTGAATGAGTTAGCGATAGCTACCAAAAACTTTGAAGATTCCAAAATAGTAGGTCCAGTAATTTATTTTCATATATTTGTACAGTTTGGGAGTAAATGGTAATTCTTACTATAGATATGACTATAGAATCTTAGAGAAACTTTGGTTTCAATAATTACTAGGAACTGGTGGGGTTTGAGAGACATATTGTGGGTGACCGCTTGAAACCTCGTATAACAAAGTATGACGCGGAATTACTTTTCGAGAAAAATGCAAAAAACTATTTGTACACGTATTTTGTTCAAATATTCTTTATCATTTTTTTTACCGCTGTACGTGGTTTTCATTCTTTGAAAATATAAACCTCGTATAACAATTTGAGATCTCCGGCCTATTGAACCAATAACTCGTATAATAATACAGTATACAAGGTTTTTCATTTTCATCAGCAGAAAAGGAACATTGAACCTCGTATAATAATATATTTTACAAGGTTTTAAATCTGACTGTTTATATACGTGTTATTTAATTAGTGCTTTTTGGGTTATTTACAATCAAGCTAAGAATACGAGGTTTTGATCACAAGATCTGCGCTTTTACGAGCTTTAGAACGGTACCAAAAAGTCAAAATGACCAAATATGGCGTATCAAGGTTTCAAGCGGTCACCGACGATATTGAATGACTGCTGCATTTAAACGCGGTTCATCTAGTCTATTAATAGCTCTTATAGACTGTCAAAGATCTGAATAAATGCTCAGATCACCTACAATATAGATCTATTTATATTTTGTTTCATTTATTTTCTGTGGTTAATTCCATTTATTCGAGATTTTTTTTCTTACTCTTATTCACTAAATATGTGATTGTGTGAATTCATAAGCGTGGAAATCACAAAATTTGTTTCTATAATATTTTGATTGTCACATTTCAGAAATTAAGCTTAGCGAGTTCCAGGGAGGAAAGGTATGTCAAGGACCAATCAGAAGCTAGACGGGAAATCTTGACCTTGAGAAATTCCTTAGATGATCTTGCAAATCAGTTGGTAAGAAACTTTATTTGTTGCTTGGATGTCAAACAAATGGTGGTTGTGGGCTCTGATCTCGATCACCATGTGGAAGTCTTATGATTTTGAATGTGTCATTCGTCCAATTTTTCAGACAACTATACATGGGTATAAATATTTGGGGTTTGATTATTTATTGATTAAGAGGTTTTTACAAGGACCAGCTGGTAAAAAGGATCCTTTGCAAACCTAAGTTGTTTACGAAGCCCCTTAGGCGCAATTTTCAATACTTTTATAAAATATTTCGTTTGAACGAAATAATTAATTCATTTAAACGAAATAAGTTATTCGATTAAACAAAATAATTATTTCGTTAAAATGAAATAAAAAATGTATTTTGTTTAAACAAAATAATTATTTCATTTAAATGAAAAATCATTTCGTTTTAAACAAAATATTTTATAAAAGTACGGAAAATTGCGCCTAAGGGGCTCCATAGTTGTTATCCTTGTTTCTTTTTTTTTTTTTTTCTTTCTTTTCTGTCTTTTTTTTCTGTTATTTCTTTGGCCTGTCATAAGTTTTCCATTGTTTTTATGGAGAATAATATTTTGTAGAGAATGGCCCTGGACAGAAATGACAAATTGTTGATAAAAATTGGTAAACTAGAGATTGTGGTCAGAGATTTAAAGGAAGAGCTCGCTAAACTTCCTCCTACCCCACCCCCAATAATCGTACCAGAACCTCAACCAGAATTATTAGCACCCCCTTCACCAACTAAAACTCCCACACCACCACCTGTTACAGTTGAACACCCAAGTAAGAAATTATCTATAATTTTATATTTCCCTCATTGAACACTGCATGGGCATTGTCTGTGTATATTAGTAACAGAAGGCAGAAGCAACAGAATGATGCAAATAAATCTCAATTTCTGTTTGCTAAAAGACCATGCATAAAGGCGGTTTTCCACGAAACAATTTTTTGGCGCAAAGCGAAATTTTTCGTCGCAAAATAAAAGCGCTCGACGAATTTTGATTTCCACTGTCATCGAAGATTGACGTTATCGCTATTTTAACGTCCTTGCCCATCAGCGACAAAATGGCGGCATTCAACAAAGCCCTGCTATTAAGCTAGAGTCTATATTAACTAGTTCTAATTATTTTCCAGATTTTGTTTTATTTCCTCTGGATCCAATGAAATTCGTGGGCCTAGAGTTTGTTTGGACTGATAAGTCGGCTATACCGTTTTCTGCCATCTTTGACGTCATGACACTATGACGCTGTTAGCCAAAATTCTCGCATCTGATTGGATAAGCTAAATACGTGAAAAATCTTGTCGCGTAAAAAAGTAGAACCTATACCTACTTCTTTTTTGCTGCAAATTCTAGTACTTCTTATCAATACGCATGCGCCTGTACGAAAAAATGGCTTCGTGCGAAAAAAATCAACCCGCGGAAAACAGTCAATCTCTTTAAGGTCATACACTGCATGGCTCTGCCCGTCTTTCGCAAAGATTTGGCATGGAGGTGTTCATTTCATATTATTTTCCTTGGTTATTGCATCTTGGCAGGAGAAAAGTTCAGTCTGTAGTAACTTGGATTGTTGTCTGCTAGGTGATAAGGTACCATGGGTTTGAATCTTGCTCAAGTTCAAAAAAATTCTGATGCTTTGACTTGTTAGTTGCCCTCGCCGTCTTTCCCTACATCTGAACAAGAGGGTGTAAAACTCTGTTTTATTTGATGTATTGTAGTAAATATTGAACTAAAAGAAAGAGTAGAGAATCTAGAAGATGAGATTAGTGATTATAAAGTAATTATTGGTGAACTACAAGATAGAATTATGATGCTAGAAAACAATGTCGTCAAGGAACAAAGTAAGAAATTTTAACCCTTAAAGATGGGTTCCCTTATTTTCATTTATGAAAATGAAAATGCTAATACTTATATGAATAGAAAGTAGAGGTGTTCTTATGACTTGGAAAAATACCAGCTTGTCTCACATGTCCATAATTAATTCATAATTAGCTAAATTAGAAGAGAATTATCAGCGGAATTTCAATGAGTGGCCGATCAAAAAAGGTCAAAAAGTCTTTTTTTGTTTATTCAAACTGTACATACATGGACATTTTTGATTGTCTCTTAATTATATGCAATAAGAACATAATGATTTGATTAAGAATAGATGATAATTCATCAATTAACCAATAAATGAAATAGTTTGCTTAATTTGACACTAAAAAATAAGGAACCCCAACTTTAAATAAGCTTACTTATATATTATTACAGATAAAATCAAGACACTGCGAGGTAATCTAGATAAAGCTAATAAAGCTCTATCTCAGGCTCAGAACAACCCACCAGCACCACATACAACTCCAGAGCTAAAGATGGAAATTAAAATGGACATACAGCCAGATACAGTAAGTTTGGGAATTTTTTATTCATTTCTTAGTTTTCCAGTGGCGTTATAACTTTATATGACATCACTTGATAACAGCTGCTTTACCAGCTGCTAGGGTATTGTATCATGTAATAATGTGGTTTGTAGAGCAGCTGCTAGGGTATTGTATCATGTACTAATGTGGTTTGTAGAGCAGCTGCTAGGGAATTGTATCATGTAATGTGGTTTGTAGAGCAGCTGCTAGGGTATTGTATAATGTAATAATGTGGTTTGTAGAGCAGCTGCTAGGGTATTGTATCATGTAATAATGTGGTTTGTAGAGCAGTTGCTAGGGTATTGTATCATGTAATAATGTGGTTTGTAGAGCAGCTGCTAGGGTATTGTATCATGTAATAATGTGGTTTGTAGAGCAGCTGCTAGTAGGCCCTTCTGAAAAGGGTTAATACAGAAGACATAAAGTTTCTCCTTTCCATTCATTTTCATGATTTTGGGCATTTTAGGATATATTTTAGGGTTCTGCAAATTTGGAAACAAACTTCATTTCTGAGTTTAGTTGTTTCTGTCACAAAGTCTGCTTCCATGATAAGATTGCTCATGCTATTTTGATATTTTTTGGTTCATAATTTGGCTATTTGGTATTTTGGTTTGTTAACTAAGTATCCCTTCTAGAGAGTTCACATACCTTATAATCATATTGATATTTTTTTGGGGGTTATCTAGTCTGGAGGCAGTGGATATAACAATCAACAACAACAACAACAACAACAACAACAACAACAACAACAACAACAACAACAACAACAACAACAACAACAACAACAACAACAACAACAACAAGATGGCCAACAAGCTTTTAAACTAAGTGAAGCCAGTGCCAATTATTATAAAACCTTATTGTCAGGAATGAAGAAAGATTTTGTACAGGAAATGGACAGGCTTAAAGAACATGTTAAAAAAGAGGGTCATAGGTAGGATACTACTTTCTTTGATTTCTGATTTGATTAAAATTCAGGGACCTGTTTCACCAAAACTTAATTGAAATCAAGATTTGAGAAATACAGTGATCTCATTCTAGTCTGATGACATCTACTTTAACCAATCAAATTCTGTCACTCTCTCACAAAATGCCAGCACAGGAGAGGGCTGAAATTTGATTGGTTAAAGCAATGGTAGGTCAAAAGGTTAATTTGACGAATGTTCAAGAGGCCAGTCTTTAGACTCTAACTAAAGTGACTATGCTAAAAAAAAAAAAAAACAGAATGAAAGTTTGGTCTAACTTTAATTAGACTGATTTAACATCAAAATTTTGTGATTGACAAATCAGATGACTTGAAAAGTTGAATCAAGATGTTAAGAATTGCAGCAATCTGATTGGTTGTTACAATTTTTAAAAAATGAATTTCTAGTTGATTAATTAAATTTAATTTTAGTGATTGTTTTTGCGAGACTGGCCCTAGAACTTGATGTTTCTTCTAGCATTTTGTATTGGACATTAAATGAGACTCTGTGTGATACAGGGTATGGACATCAGAGATCCCTCAACAGTTGAAGTTTACATTGTCCTATATTCTCAAACATAGAGATAAATGTTCATTCACCCACTTTACAATTTTGAGATATTTCATGCACGGCAGCAATTATTTAGCCAACACTCAATCAATCGTTTTGTACTTGTTGAATATTAACATGTTTTATTTCCTAAAGCATACTCTAGGTAGGTGAAGGTAAGATTGAATTATTATAATATATTCCATCTTGAATAATCCAGGCTACATATTCTCGAAACGATCTTAGCCCTAGGATATCCTAGAAACAGTGTTATGACTCTAGGACATCCTATCGCTGAGATCGTTTCGAGAATACATTACCAGTATAGCTATCTGACCCTTGCTTTTCTGTCTAATTCATTGAACTCATTCCATGTCTACCTCATTTGATTTCTTGTGGGTTTTGGCTGCTGTTCGGTATAATTGGTTTTCTGTGACAATTGCTATCTGCATGCTTACTAGTCATGGCAATTTAAATTCTTATTAATTGCTTTTGTAATAGTGGTAATGCTCAAGTGGTTCCTAATACTTTATCCTAAGCTACAATCTATCCTAAGCTACAATTTATCCAACTACAATTTATCCTAAGCTACAATTTATCCAACTACAATTTATCCTTAGCTACGATTGATAGCTAAAATTTATCCTTAGCTACAATTTATCCTTAGCTACAATTTTTCCTAAGCTATAATTTATCCTTAGCTACAATTTATCCTTAGCTACAATTTTTCCTAAGCTATAATTTATCCTTAGCTACAATTTATAGCTACAATTTATCCTTAGCTACAATTTATCCTTAGCTACAATTTATCCTTAGCTACAATTTTTCCTAATCTATAATTTATCCTTAGCTACAATTTATAGCTACAATTTATCCTAAGCTATAAATTGTGGATATCCAATCTTGTAGTCATTATTTCAGAACGGATAATTTCAGCACATATTTTAGACTTTGTATGAGTATCAGGGACACATGGCTTCTATTTCAAATTTTCTGTCCAACGTCTATGATTTCTATATATTCCAGACTTTGGACCAGATTATGAATTCAAATTAAAGTTGTAGATATGTTCCAGATATGCATAAAAAAAAGCCAGAAAACTTCTCTTGTATCTCTTTAAGGTCATATGAACTACATGTCAAATACCAAAGCTTCACATTCATCATTGTCATTTTCTTTCTCAAATTCTAGAACAGAAGCTGTTGTTCGTCGTGTAGAGAATTCACATAAAGATCAGATAGTAGTTATCCAAAAGATGCTATCAGAATTCTCAGAGCCATGATGCACTTCCGCGATCAAATAGCAA